CTTTTAAAGAAAATGAGAGTTTTGAGTGAAACTTATTCGAGTTCCCCTTGACGTCCCGAAGTGTGTTTTAGAGAGAATAGGTTGAATCTTTGAATGAAAATACCTCAGTAAAGGTACCTAGTATGTCACTAGACCTTTTTAATGTAAAAAGATTGATTCTTTGAAAGAAAATGAGAGTTTTGAGATTAACTTATTCGAGTTAGCTATGAAGTCACGAAGCGTGTTTAAATGACTAAAGATTAAATCTTTGAATGAAAATACCTCGATAAAGAAACCTATTATATGACTAAACCTTTATAATGTATACAGATTGAATTTTTGAAAGAAAATGAGAGTTTTGAATGAAACTTATTCGAGTTCCTTTTGATGTACCGAAGAGTGTTTTAATGAACAAAAATAGAATCTTTGAATGAAAATAACTCAATAAAGGTACCTATTATGTTACTAGACCTTTTTAATGTATAAACGTTGAATCTTTAAAAGAAAATAAGATCATTGATTTAAACTTATTCGAATTATCTCTGAAGTGGCGAAGAGTGTTTTAACGAGTAAAGATCGAATCTTTGATTGAAAATATCTCAATAAAAGTACTTTTTATGTCACCAAACCTTTATAATGCATATAGATTGAATCTTTGAAACAAAACAAGAGTTTTCATTTAAAATTATTCGTGTTACCTAGAAGTTTCGAAGAGTGTTTTAATGAGAATATGTGGAATCTTTAAATGAAAGTACCTCAATAAATGTACCTTTTATGTCACTAGGCCTTTTCAATATATAAAGATTGAATCTTTGAAAAAAAAAATGAGGCTTTTGTGTTAAACTTATTCGAGTTCCATTTGACGTCCCGTAGAGTATTTTACAAAGTAAAGATTAAATCTTTGAAAGAAAATACCTTAACAAAGGTACCTAGTATATCAGAGACCTTTTTAATGTAAAAAGATTGAATCTTTGAAATAAAATGATAGTTTAGAGATTAACTTATTTGAGTTACCTATGAAGTCGCGAACCGAGTTATAATGACTAAATATTAAATCTTTGAATGAAAATATCTCAACAAAGGAACCTATTATGTGACTAGACCTTTTTAATATATAAAGATTGAATCTTTTAAAGAAAATGAGAGTTTTGAGTGAAATTTATTCGAGTTCCCTTTGACCTCCCGAAGAGTGTTTTAATGAGTAAAAATAGAATATTTGAATGAAAATACCTCAATAAAGGTACCTATTATGTTACTAGACCTTTTTAATGTATAAACGTTGAATCTTTGAAAGAAAATAAGAGTATTAATTTAAAGTTCTTCGAGTTACCTATGAAGTGGCGAAGCGTGTTTTAATGAGAAAAAATCGAATCTTTGATTGAAAATATCTCAATAAAAGTACCTTTTATGTCACTAAACCTTTTTAATGTACATAGATTGAATCTTTGGAACAAAACAAGAGTTTTAATTTAAAATTGTTCGTGTAGCCTAGAAGTCGCGAAGAGTGTTCGATTGAGTATATGTTGAATCTTTAAATGAAAGTACCTCAATAAAGGTACATTTTATGTCACTAGACCTTTTCATTGTATAAAGATTGAATCTTTCAAAGAAAATTAGGTTTTTGAGTTTAACTTATTCGAGTTCCTTTTGACGTCCCGAAGAGTGTTTTACAAACTATAGATTGAATCTTTGAATGAAAATACCTCAGTAAAGGTACCTAGTATGTCACTAGACCATTTTAATGTAAAAAGATTGAATCTTTGAAAGAAAATGAGAGTCTTGAAATTAACTTATTCGAGTTAACTATGAAGTCACGAAGTTTGTTTTAATGACTAAAGATTAAATCTTTGAATGAAAATGCCTCAATAAAGGAACCTACTATATGACTAAACCTTTTTAATGTATATAGACTGAATCTTTAAAAGAAAATGAGTGTTTTGAATAAAACTTATTCGAGTTCCCTTTGACGGCCCGAAGAGTATTTTAAACAGTAAAAATTGAATCTTTGAATGAAAATACCTCAATAAAGATACCTATTATGTTACTAGACCTTTTTAATGTATAAACTTTGAATCTTTGAAAAAAAATAAGAGTATTGATTTAAACTTATTCGAGTTACCTGTGAAGTTGCGGAGAGTGTTTTAATGAGTAAAGTTCGATTCTTTGATTGAAAATATCTCAATAAAAGTACCTTTTCTGTCAGTAAACTTTTTTAATGTATATAGATTAAATCTTTGAAACAAAACAAGAGTATTAATTTAAAATTATTCGTGTTACCTATGAAGTCGCGAAGACTGTTTTAATGAGTATATGTTGAATCTTTAAATGAAAGTTCCTAAATAAAGGTACCTTTTATGTCACAAGACCATTTCAATGTATAAATATTGAATCTTTGAAAGAAAATAAGGTTTTTTAGTTAAACTTATTCAAGTTCCCTTTGACGTCCCGTAGAGTGTTTTACAAAGTAAAGATTGAATCTTTGAATGAAAATACCTTAATAAAGGTACCAAGTATGTCACTAAACCTTTTTAATGTAAAAAGAATGAATCTTTGAAATAAAATGATAGTTTTGAGATTAACTTATTCGAGTTACCTATGAAGTCGCGAATCGTGTTGTAATGACTAAATATTATATCTTTGAATGAAAATATCTCAACAAAGGAACCTATTAAGTGACTAGACCTTTTTAATGTAAAAAGATTGAATCTTTTAAAGAAAATGAGAGTTTTGAGTGAAACTTATTCGAATTCCTTTTGACGTCCCGAAGAGTGTTTTACAGAGTATAGATTGAATCTTTTAATGAAAATACCTCAGTAAAGGTACCTAATATGTCACTAGACCTTTTTAATGTAAAAAGATTGAATCTTTGAAAGAAAATGAGAGTTTTGAGATTAACTTATTCGAGTTACCTATGAAGTCGCGAAGCGTGTTTTAATGACTAAAGATTAAATCTTTGAATGAAAATATCTCAATAAAGGAACCTATTATGTGACTAGACTTTTTTAATGTATAAAAATTGAATCGTTGAAATAAAATGAGAGTTCTGAGTGAAACTTATTCGAATTCCCTTTGATATCACGAAGAGCATTTTAATGAGAAAAATTAGAATCTTTGAATGAAAATACCTCAATAAAGGTACCTATTATGTTACTAGACCTTTTTAATGTATAAACGTTGAATCTTTGAAAGAAAATAAGAGTATTGATTTAAACTTATTCGAGTTACCTATGAAGTGGCGAAGCGTGTTTTAATGAGTAAAGATCGAATCTTTGATTGAAAATATCTCAATAAAAGTACATTTTATGTCACTAAACCTTTTTAATGTATATAAATTGAATCTTTGGAACAAAACAAGAGTTTTAATTTAAAATTATTCGTGTAACCTACGAAGTCGCGCAGAATATTTTAATGAGTATATGTTGAATCTTTAAATGAAAGTACCTCGATAAAGGTACCTTTTATGTCACTAGACCTTTTCAATGTATAAAGATTGAATCTTAGAAAGAAAATGAGGTTTTTGAGTTAAACTTATTCGAGTCCCTTTAATGTCCCGTAGAGTGTTTTACAGAGTAAAGATTGAATCTTTGAATGAAAATACCTTAATAAAGGTACCTAGTATGTTATTAGACCTTTTTAATGTAAAAAGATTGAATCTTTGAAATAAAATGATAGTTTTGAGAATAACTTATTCGAGTTACCTTTGAAGTCGCGAATTGTGTTGTAATGACTAAATATTAAATCTTTGATTGAAAATATCTCAACAAAGGAACCTATTATGTGACTAGACCTTTTTAATGTATAAAGATTGAATCTTTTAAAGAAAATTAGAGTTTTGAGTGAAACTTATTCGAGTTCCCTTTGACGTCCGTAAGAGTGTTTTACAGAGTATAGATTGAATCTTTGAATGAAAATACCTCAGTAAAGGTACCTAGTATGTCACTAGACCTTTTTAATGTAAAAAGATTGAATCTTTGAAAGAAAATGAGAGTTTTGAGATTAACTTATTCGAGTTACCTATGAAGTCACGAAGCGTGTTTTAATGACTAAAGATTAAATCTTTAAATGAAAATACCTCAATAAAGGAACTTATTATATGACTAAACCTTTTTAATGTATACAGATTGAATCTTTAAAAGAAAATGAGAGTTTTGAGTGAAATTTATTCGAGTTCCCTTTGATGTCCCGAAGAGTATTTTAATCAGTAAAAATTGAATCTTTGAATGAAAATACCTCAATAAATGTACCTATTATGTTAGTAGACCTTTTTAATGTATAAATGTTGAATCTTTGAAAAAAAATAAAAGTATTGATTTAAACTTATTCGAGTTACCTATGAATTGGCGAAGAGTGTTTTAATTAGTAAAGATCGAATCTTTGATTGAAAATATCTCAATAAAAGTACCTTTTATGTTAGTAAATCTTTTTAATGTATATAGATTGAATCTTTGAAACAAAATAAGAGTATTAATTTAAAATTATTCGCGTTACCTATGAGGTCGCGAAGACTGTTTTAATGAGTATATATTGAATCTTTAAATGAAAATTCCTCAGTAAAGGTACGTTTTATGTCACTAGAGCTTTTCAATGTATAAATATTAAATCTTTGAAAGAAAATAAGGTTTTTGAGTTAAACTTATTCGAGTTCCCTTTGACGTCCCGTAGAGTGTTTTACAGTGTAAAGATTGAATCTGTGAGGACCTGCATTTTTATTATTTTTTCGAACATTTTAGTATTCATGCATTTTTTTTTTATTGTCAAAAATATGATTAGTTTGCAAATTTGAATTAAACATTATTATGTGTTAAGAAATATTATAGACTATACTATGCAAAATAGCATAATTGGCATTTGGTTGGTTGTGAAAGGGTATTCTTGACTTTTGTCATGCAAATGGCATGAATGGTATTTAGTAGAAAATAAAAGGACTTTTGAGTCATTTCTTATGATTTTTGTTTTAATTCTTGGAGGGGATGACATGTGTGGGTATATGTGATTGCACCATATCCATTCATTTTATAACATATAGTATGCCTAGTATTTTGTTCTTAAAAACCATTTTGGCAAAACCCAATTTTCGTGCATTCTACTTCCTTTCCATAGTGATACCTTTTAAGCTAAATTTTGGAAGCTTTGTGTTGGGATTTTGATGGGGCTTTGTGAAGGAAAAATGTTTCTTAGATAGTGAGGGTTCTTTTGATATCAAACTTGAGTCAATTTCTTTTGTTGCTGGGTTTGGAAAGTGGTGTTAAAAGAAGAGGGTTTTGGTTGCAAACAAAGAAGGAAAGTGTTCTTCACCTTCTAGTTGTTGATTTTGATCCATTTTTGGTGTGGTTTTGAATTGTTAAGCAAGTGTTCAAGCTTCCTTTGAGGTAAGATTGTCTAACTCTCAATTCCTTTGCCTTTAGTGAGTTATCTCTTTCAATTTGAGTTGCAAAGTGTATAAACAACCTAAACTGATGCTGAAACTGCTTGGCCGAAATTGCATGCTGCTATTTTGCTCTAATTCATATAAATTCGTAATTTATCATGCAGAGATGATTTGATATTATGATAATATAGTGAATTAGCTTTCATTGAGAATTGGTTTCACATAAATTGGTTGAGAAATGAATTTATCATGAATTTTTGAAGTTAGAGGGTTCTTGCTGGGCATTCTGGGTTTGGGAAGATTCTGTCCGAGTTTTGTTCATCAAATCTGCTTTAGATGGTATGGTATTTTGATGAAATAAAATTTTATCTTAAAAATACAGTCTTTTAACTTTCAGTGGCCTTTGGATTCACTCCATTTGGACGAAAATTTTATTTACTATGAATTTTTGAAGATGGAAGCTACAGGCTGGAAATCAGTGTCTGACAGATTTTTATTTCGAAATTGTGAATTAAAACTGTTCCAATTGGGAAGGTATTTTGTTAAACTAAATTGACAAAGTACATTGCTTAAGCTTTCATTAGGCTTTGGACTCACTCAATTTGACTTAGAATTGAATTTGTTATGAATTTTCAAAGATGGAAGCTACAGGCTGGAAATCAGTTTCTGGGCAGATTTTAGTTCGAACTTTTGGGTCAAAACTGTTCCAATTGGGAAGGGATTTTGTTAAACTAAATTAGCACTCTCAAAGTACATTGTTTAAGCTTTCATTAGGCTTTGGAATCACTCAATTTGACTTATTGAATTTGTTATGAATTTTCAAAGATGGAAGTAAAATGCTGCATGTGAACTGTTTACTGTTTAGAAACTTCGGAACATGACACAAATGTGCATTCATCTTGCATGGTCATGGGGTTAAGGTAAGAATGGAAAAAGGAAGTGAAAGTTCAATAAAATGATTTTGAAAACCGGATAACAGGGAGGTGCCTTGTATCCGTGAGTTAGGAAAGTGGGATTGATTCAATGATTTCAAAACCGGACAAGGAGTTGCCTTGTCTGTGCAGTTAATGGAAATCTAGAAAAGACGTAAGAATTGCCTACGCATAATTGTGTCACTAGGCCCCAAATGATTACAAGGAGTTGCCTTGGATCAGGGATAGATGATCAATTCTCTTCTCGTGGTACAAGGAGCAGCTCTGGCCGGATTACATTAACTTTTTGTGATGGAAATTGGATTTTTGGGAAGTGAGAAGTGTCTGTGGCATTAGCATTAGCATCCGCATTGCATGGCACTTCATTTTATTATCCTACATGACATTATTTCTTTCCCGAGTTTTTATGATCCCATTATCCTTTGTCTATTCTTTGTTTGGACTCATGGAGGTATTAAGGAGTGCGCTTTAGGCAATTCCTACAGAGCTGTGGTTGCTCATTCCTATTTTATTCACATCTTTTCAGGTCATAGCATGGATGGTGTGGAGGGTGTTCCTCCTCAGTTGTAGACAGAGTCGGGGCTGGTGTTGTTGTGTTATATTCCGCATAATAGACTATGTTTTGTATTATATTTCCTAGAATTTTCTTGGCATGTAATAAATTTTCTTTCAGACTTTAAAACTTTAAAGTTTTAATATTTGCATCTTATCTATTTATTTTCAGTCTTGATTTTATAAAGAGAAATAGATAGGTGGATGTGTGGTTCAGACAGGTTACAGGGCTATTCAGTGATTTCGAGACTGTGATTATTTGTGTGTTGTGTTCACAATCCGGACTACGGTCTAGGGGTGTGACAAAATCATTGAATGACAATACCTTAATAAAGGTACCTAGTATGTCACTAGACCTTTGTAATATAAAAAGATTGAATCTTTGAAATAAAATGATAGTTTTGAGATTAACTTATTCGAGTTACCTACGAAGTCCCGAATCGTGTTGTAATGACTAAATATTAAATCTTTGAATGAAAATATCTCAACAAAGGAACCTATTATGTGACTAGACCTTTTTAATGTATAAAGATTGAATCTTTTAAAGAAAATGAGAGTTTTGAGCGAAACTTATTCGAGTTCCCTTTGACGTCCCGAAGAGTGTTTTACATAGTATAGATTGAATCTTTGAATGAAAATACCTCAGTAAAGGTACCTAGTATGTCACTAGACCTTTTTAATGTAAAAAGATTGAATCTTCGAAAGAAAATGAGAGTTTTGAGATTAACTTATTCGAGTTACCTATGAAGTCGCGAAGCGTGTTTTAATGACTAAAGATTAAATCTTTGAATGAAAATATCTCAATAAAGGAACCTATTATGTGACTAGACTTTCTTAATGTATAAAAATTGAATCTTTGAAAGAAATGAGAGTTTTGAGTGAAACTTATTCGAGTTCCCTTTGACGTCACGAAGAGTGTTTTAATGAGTAAATATAGAATCTTTGAATGAAAATACCTCAATAAAGGTACCTATTATGTTACTAGACCTTTTTAATGTATAAACGTTGAATCTTTGAACGAAAATAAGAGTATTGATTTAAACTTATTCGAGTAACCTATGAAGTGGCAAAGCATGTTTTAATGAGTAAAGATCAAATCTTTGATTGAAAATATCTCAATAAAAGTACCTTTTATGTCACTAAACCTTTTTAATGTACATAGATTGAATCTTTGGAACAAAACAAGAGTTTTAATTTAAAATTATTCGTGTAACCTACGAAGTCGCGCAGAATATTTTAATGAGTATATGTTGAATCTTTAAATTAAAGTACCTCGATAAAGGTACCTTTTATGTCACTAGACCTTTTCAATGTATAAAGATAGAATCTTAGAAAGAAAATGAGGTTTTTGAGTTAAACGTATTCGAGTTCCCTTTGACGTCCCGTAGAGTGTTTTACAGAGTAAAGATTGAATCTTTGAATGAAAATACCTTAATAAAGGTACCTAGTATGTCACTAGACCTTTTTAATGTAAAAAGATTGAATCTTTGAAATAAAATGATAGTCTTGAGATTAACTTATTTGATTTACCTATGAAGTCGCGAATTGTGTTGTAATAACTAAAAATTAAATCTTTGAATGAAAATATCTCAACAAAGGAACCTATTATGTGACTAGACCTTTTTAATGTATAAAGATTAAATCTTTTAAAGAAAATAAGAATTTTGAGTGAAACTTATTCGAGTTCCCTTTGACATCCCGAAGAGTGTTTTACAGAGTATAGATTGAATTTTTGAATGAAAATACCTCGGTAAAGGTACCTAGGATGTCACTAGACCTTTTTAATGTAAAAAGATTAAATCTTTGAAAGAAAATGAGAGTTTTGAGATTAACTTATTCGAGGTACCTATGAAGTCGCGAAGCATGTTTTAATGACTAAAGATTAAATCTTTGAACGAAAATACCTCAATAAAGGAACCTATTAGATGACTAAACCTTTTTAATGTATACAGATTGAATCTTTGAAAGAAAATGAGAGTTTTGAGCGAAACTTATTCGAGTTCCCTTTGCTGTCCCGAAGAGTATTTTAATCAGTAAAAATTGAATCTTTGAAAAAAAATACCTCAATAAAGGTATCGATTATGTTACTAGACCTTTTTAATGTATAAACATTGAATCTTTGAAAGAAAATAAGCGTATTGATTTAAACTTATTCGAGTTACCTATGAAGTGGCAAATAGTGTTTTAATGAGTAAAGATCGAATCTTTGATTAAAAATATCTCAATAAAAGTACCTTTTATGTCAGTAAACCTTTTTAATGTATATAGATTGAATCTTTGAAACAAAACAAGACTATTAATTTAAAATTATTCGTGTTACCTATGAAGTCGCGAAGACTGTTTTAATGAGTATATGTTGAATCTTTGAATGAAAGTTCCTCAATAAAGGTACCTTTTATGTTACTAGACCTTTTCAATGTATAAATATTGAATCTTTCAAAGAAAATAAGGTTTTTGAGTTCAACTTATTCGAGTTCCCTTTGACGTCCCGAAGAGTGTTTTACAGAGTATAGATTCAATGTTTGAATGAAAATACCTCTATAAAAGTACCTAGTATGTCACTAAACCTTTTTAGTGTAAAAAGATTGAATATTTGAAAGAAAATGAGAGATTTGAGTTTAACTTATTCGAGTTACCTATGAAGTCGCGAAGTGTGTTTTAATGACTAAAGATTAAATCTTTGAGTGAAAATACCTCAATAACGGAACATATTATATGACTAAACTTTTTTAATGTATACAGATACAATCTTTGAAAGAAAACGAGAGTTTTGAGTGAAACTTATTCGAGTTCCCTTTGACATCCCGAAGAGTATTTTAATCAATAAAAATTGAATCTTTGAATGAAAATACCTCAATAAAGGTACCTATTATGTTATTAGACCTTTTTAATGTATAAACGTTGAATCTTTGAAAGAAAATAGAAGTATTGATTTAAACTTATTCGAGTTACCTATGAAGTGGCGAAGAGTGTTTTAATGAGTAAAGATCGATTCCTTGATTGAAAATATCTCAATAAAAGTACCTTTTATGTCAGTAAACCTTTTTAATGTATATAGAATGAATCTTTGAAACAAAACAAGCGTAGTAATTTAAAATTATTCGTGTTACCTATGAAGTCGCTAAGATTGTTTTAATGAGTATATTTTGAATCTTTAAATGAAAGTTCCTCAATAAGGGTACCTTTTATGTCACTAGACCTTTCAATGCATAAATATTGAATCTTTGAAAGAAAATAAGGTTTTTGAGTTAAACTTATTCGAGTTCCTTTTGACGTCCCCTAGAGTGTTTTACAGAGTAAAGATTGAATTTTTGAATGAAAATACCTTAATAAAGGTACCTAGTATGTCACTAGACCTTTTTAATGTAAAAAGAATGAATCTTTGAAATAAAATGATAGTTTTGAGATTAACTTATTCGAGTTACCTCTGAAGTCGCGAATCGTGTTGTAATGACTAAATATTAAATCTTTGAATGAAAATATCTCAACAAAGGAACCTATTATTTCACTAGACCTTTTTAATGTATAAAGATTGAATCTTTTAAAGAAAATGAGAGTTTTGAGTGAAACTTATTCGAGTTCCCTTTGACGTCCCGAAGAGTGTTTTACATAGTATAGATTGAATCTTTGAATGAAAATACCTCAGTAAAGGTACCTACTATGTCACTAGACCCTTTTAATGTAAAAAGATTGAATCTTTGAAAGAAAATGAGAGTTTTGAGATTAACTTATTCGAGTTACCTATGAAGTCGCGAAGCGTGTTTTAATGACTAAAGATTAATTCTTTGAATGAAAATACCTCAATAAAGGAACCTCTTATGTGACTAGACTTTTTTAATGTGTAAAAATTGAATCTTTGAAAGAAAATGAAAGTTTTGAGGGAAACTTATTCGATTGCCCTTTGACGTCACGAAGTGTGTTTTAATGAGTAAAAATAAAATCTCTGAATGAAAATACCTCAATAAAGGTACCTATTATGTTAGCAGACCTTTTTAATGTATAAACGTTGAATCTTTGAAAGAAAATAAGAGTATTGATTTAAACTTATTCGAGTTACGTATGAAGTGGCGAAATGTGTTTTAATGAGTAAAGATCGAATCTTTGATTGAAAATTTTTCAATAAAAGTACCTTTTATGTCACTAAACCTTTTTAATGTATATAGATTGAATCTTTGGAACAAAACAAGAGTTTTAATTTAAAATTATTCTTGTAACCTACGAAGTCGCGCAGAATATTTTAATGAGTATATACTGAATCTTCAAATGAAAGTACCTCGATAAAGGTACCTTTTATGTCACTAGACCTTTTCAATGTATAAAGATTGAATCTTTGAAAGAAAATGAAGTTTTTGAGTTAAACTTATTCGAGTTCCCATTGACATCCCGTAGAGTGTTTTACAGAGTAAAGATTGAATGTTTGAATGAAAATACCTTAATAAAGGTACTTAGTATGTCACTAGACCTTTTTAATGTAAAAAGATTGAATCTTTGAAATAAAATGATAGTTTTGAGATTAACTTATTCGAGTTACCTATGAAGTCGCAAATCGTGTTGTAATAGATAAAAATTAAATCTTTGAATGAAAACATCTCAACAAAGGAACCTATTATGTGACTAGACCTTTTTAATGTATAAAGATTGAATCTTTTAAAGAAAATAAGAATTTTGTGTGAAACTTATTCGAGTTCCCTTTAACGTCCCGAAGAGTGTTTTACAGAATATAGATTGAATCTTTGAATGAAAATACCTCAGTAAAGGTTCCTAGTATGTCACTAGACCTTTTTAATTTAAAAGGATTAAATCTTTGAAAGAAAATTAGAGTTTTGAGATTAACTTATTCGAGTTAGCTATGAAGTTGCGAAGCAAGTTTTAATGACTAAAGATTAAATCTTTGAACGAAAATACCTCAATAAAGGAACCTATTATATGACTAAACCTTTTTAATTTATACAGATTGAATCTTTGAAAGAAAATGAGAGTTTTGAGTGAAACTTATTCGAGTTACCTTTGAAGTGGCAAAGAGTGTTTTAATGAGTAAACATCGAATCTTTGATTGAAAATATCTCAATAAAAGTACCTTTTATGTCAGTAAACCTTTTTTATGTATATAGATTGAATCTTTGAAACAAAATAATACTACTAATTTAAAATTATTCATGTTACCTATGAAG